CCACCTCGCCCGGCTAGTTTTTTGTATTTTTTAGTAGAGACGGGGTTTCACTGTGTTAGCCAAGATGGTCTCGATCTCCTGACCTCATGATCCGCCCGACACTCAGACTTTCTTACAGCCATACCGAATATCAAAGGTTAAACTTAAATGGAAGTATCATAAGGATAGTAAACTTGTATGTAACTATGTAACTTATCTGTCCATTCAGCACACACACTTAGCAATTGAATATAATAATAATTTCTGTACTTTGCTAAGAAATCTATAATGATTGGATAAATAATAGGTCTTGAAAAAAACTGAAGTGTTTGAAAATTCATGGTTAAACTAAATAATTGATAATATAAGAAGAATTTTATCAAATAGAACAACTTTTAAAAGCTTTATATGATGCCTCTGAGGGCATCAAAATGCATAATAGTACAATTCTTAATTTCACAACTTTTCAAGTGATAGTTGTTTTTGTCCCTTTATGAAATAGCACACGGAGCAGAAGGTTTGTGGCTTGGGGTAGGGGGGCCCTATTGCCTTCTATTTAATTGCCGTATTTCTGGATTTGTACTTTATGTGCTTCTTCTTTCCTCCCTTGATATTTTCCTAGGCAGTCCTGTTCAGAATGAGCAAGGCTTTGTGGAGTTCAAAATTTCCGGGCCTCTGCAGTACATGTGGTGGTACCATGTGGTGGGCCTGATTTGGATCAGTGAATTTATTCTGGCGTGTCAGCAGATGACAGTGGCAGGAGCTGTGGTAACATACTATTTTACTAGGTGAGAATTTGTTGTTATTAGAAAACTCAAGTTCATCTAAGGGACGGTGTCCACAGGCTGGAGGGGAAGGGAATCAGACTGGGGCTGGTAGGAGTTTCATTTCTTTAACAAAATAATTAGAAATGAATATGATAGAGTGTTATATATAGTTGATAATTCTGGGAGGTGGTCAAATGAGAGATTGTTGTTTTATTTTTTATACTTTTCTGCAATTGTCTCAAAAAATTTATCGTGATGTCACAAATTGTATTTAGCAGAAGAATAAATCTTATAGTGGTGCCATACGTACTTCTGCTTTGTATAAAAGTCCATCAAAGGACAAGTCTTTTTAGTTTGTTTAGACCGGAACAAGTGTGAGTTCCCTTTGCTAACTTTACAGCCAAATATGAAAGCTTTAGGCCTCATAGTTTTCTATTATAATTATATGCCAAGTCTAAATTGAACATCTTTTTAAATTCTGTTTTCTGATTATGTGGTTAACCCCATAAGTATTCACTAATAAAAGCTTTCGGAGCACAGTTTTATTTAACTTGAAGTATTAGAGCATCAGAACGCCATGAAACCATAGAGCAATGACATTAATTTTATATAGCATGTGTGTAGCATTTGTAATAGTTATACATCACTTGGCCATTTTGTCATAAGACAAAATAAGAATGATGAGCTGATTTTTTTTTTTTTTTTTCACTGCATTGACCTCTAAACCATACCTGTGTTTCCATCCTGATCTAGGCTTTGTTTTAATTGTCTTTGGTCATTTTTTAAATAGGGATAAAAGGAATTTGCCATTTACACCTATTTTGGCATCAGTAAATCGCCTTATTCGTTACCACCTTGGTACGGTGGCAAAAGGATCTTTTATTATCACATTAGTCAAAATTCCGCGAATGATCCTTATGTATATTCACAGTCAGCTCAAAGGAAAGGTAAGAGGAAAATGCATTTCTGTACTATTTCTGTGGGCACATTCCAGACCTCAGTTCTGCATGTAGGAAAGCACCCAATAATGTTAAATACAAAGTTGTGTTTTCTTCAAAGTCTTTACGAGGCAAAATCTAGCCCTTCTACCCTGTCTCCCACTCATGCGCTCCGTATGCTCTGGCAAAATTCATCCAATCACTAGTTAATAAAGTTTCCTGTGCTGCTCTTCCTCTCTGTTAACTCACGTATCTTCCTTATTAGAACTTCTTCCCTATCCTTGACTGTGGGTATAACATGCATTTCAACATAGTTTAGCTCAAATTCTACCCCTTTGTAGAAACCTTTCCTGATTCCTGCCATCTCCCAAACGATGCTGTCTCTTTGTTCTCCACTCTTATAACACTTAGTATCTATACTACATTCTGATTGTAACTTTTTTGTATTTAGTATTTTTTTCTCCTACTAGATCGTAAGTAGCTTGCAAGTGTTACAAACTTCATTGTATCTTATGCAATAGAGACTAAATAAACATTGAATTTAACTTATTAAAAATAATTCAGTCATTATGTTTTAAGGAGGAAGTAGACAAGTATGGAGGCTTTGAAGCATAAATTGTGATTTTAAAATTTTTATTTATTTTTCTAATGTTTGAAGTCTTCTATATGACAGTTTGATTCTTTGGTTTTTTGATTATTTCAATTTTTCCCCTATCCAGGAAAATGCTTGTGCACGATGTGTGCTGAAATCTTGCATTTGTTGCCTTTGGTGTCTTGAAAAGTGCCTAAATTATTTAAATCAGGTAAAATATTTTAAAAATAAATCTAATATTTACTTTCAAAGATAGGTTCATTGTTTCTTCTCCTAAGCTAAAATAAACTTAATTGAAAGATGTTATGTTTTTCTTGTGGTATTGTACATTGTACCTTGATAAAGTATGTCTATTTCAATCATATTCTTATTTTTTAAATTAATGTATGTGCTTGCCAAGGCTCATTATTATTTTAATTTTTTCCAACTATTATTTTAGGTTTAGGGGGTACATGAACAGGTTTGTTACATAGGTTATTATTTTTATTTTAATAAATAGATAAAACATCACTAGGATTTGTTTTTCAGGGAAAGCATTTATCTCTTATCCCTTAATTCACATTCCTTCATTTTTTAAGTTTTCCCTAAGAATCTGACTACTGTGGCTATTATTATCCTTTCATTTTTAAAAATGTTGTTTGAAAACTTCAGTGTAAAGCTGTTGTGATGCTTTATCCCTCTCTGCAACTAGCTACTATCATTCAAACTAGTGTGCTCTCTATGCTGATACTTTTTTTTAGGGGGGGGTCCCCAACTGCTAAACACTATGATATTGGCCTGGGAAATATTATCAAAGGAAGTACTACTTATAAGCTTGAATGGAAGAATTGATATTTATAGGATAAAAGGGCTTAGGGGAATGGGTTAGTCCTCTATCTATCTAATATCTGAGGATCTAGGAGTCTCTGTGGGGCATTCCTTCCTTCTTTTCTTTATTTTTTTAAGTTACTTTTCCATTCCCTAAAAATCAATTCTAATGTATTAATGCCCTCATCTAATAGGCCAGAGGTAAAATTGACTTTCTCACCATTTGCCGCTAAGTGATTAAAGAGTAGCATTGCACTTTCCATTCACTTCAGGCTAGTCACAGGTTGATAGTTCTATGGTCATGGTATTGAGCATGCGTGGACTTTGCTTTACTGGGCTCTGTGGTTACTATGAGAAAGTAGGTATGATGTTTCATTAGCAAAATACATTCTTATAGGTCATAATATTCCCTATGGATGTATAAGTGTTTGGAAGCTCATTCTTAAAATAATTAGTAACGGCCATAACAGCCTGAAAAATTGGGTTCTTTAAAATTGGTTTGAGGCCAAATCATCTTTATCAGAAAGTTGGTGGATACACTAAAGATGATCATAATTGCATTTTTATACCCATCACTAAGTAGCTTATCCTTGGAGAGGTATGCTAAGCCCAGATCTCTAGTCTCAATCCCACTGCCGTCCCCCAGGCACCTTTTGCTTTTGCAGTTTTCCAAGTGTTCCTGGGATGACTTCCAACACCTGAGTAGTTCCTACTGAATCTTAATGATTCTGCCTGAGCGTCACTCCAAGAAGCCATCCTTCACCACACCAGCCCCTCTTCTGAGCTTCTAACACTAGGTCATACCTTAATATTCAAATACTAACAACACTATATCGAAGTTATCTATTAACTTTACCTTTACATTTCTAGCTCCTTTAAAGTAAAGATCTTCTTTTTCTTGGTCTCCTCAGAAGCTAGCACAGTGCCCAATATACAATAGGTGGTCTTTTAGTGTTTTCTGAATGAACTGTTAATTATATTAGTGAATATTTGGACTCAAAAAGACTAACAGGGTGATACAAAACTATAAAAATCTTGAAAAGGAGATGTGCAGTTATACTGAAGGAAGAAAACACATCATATGATATCAAGATAGTCGATTAAAAGATTACAAAAATCAAAGGTTTTGAGCATATCCCAAGCTAAACATTTGTAGTGGTTATGGCTCTTCAACAACGTACTCCATATTCGTCTTTTTTTTTTTTTGAGACAGAGTGTCTCTCTGTCGCCCAGGCTGGAGTGCAGTGGTGCAATCTCAGCTCACTGCAACCTCTGCCTCACAGGTTTAAAAGGATTTTCCTGCCTTAGCCTCCCGAGCAGCTGGCACTACAGGTATGCACCACCACGCCTGGCTAATTTTTGTATCTTTAGTAGAGACAGGGTTTCTCCATGTTGCCCAGGCTGCTCTTGAACTCCTGGTCTCATGTGATCCGTCCACCTCAGCCTCCCAAAGTGCTGGGATTACAAGCGTGAGGTAGCGCGCCCAGCCCATATTCGTGATTTTTAAGAACATCCTAGCCATGTAAGTCTAGATCAGGGAAGGCCTGAAATTGCATTCTAATTCTGAAATGATCATGAATTTGAAGTAAGTTCTGGTACTGACTCAGACATTTAGATTCCTTCTAAGATGAACCAATGAATGCAGTGTCACTCAGGAGTTACCTCAAATCCCAAGTATAGCCAAGGATATACTTACTTCCTTGAGACTTTCTAGTTTGGAAATGATCTGACCCTAACTAGAGCTCCAAGTGAGGATATAGTTAATAGTTAGACACTCAGACTT